GTGACTGCTGTGTGCCGCCACTGTCACAGGGGCATCACAGGTGACTGCTGTGTGCCGCCACTGTCACAGGGGCATCACAGGTGACTGCTGTGTGCAGGCAGACACCTCTGGGGAGCCCTGAAAGGAGCTGTGGCTCATACTGAAGACAAGCATGGCAGCTGAGATTGGTCTGTGCTTGTGGAAGGGATTTTAATTTAAAGCTGCCTTTGGCTATCAGGCTCCTTGGTTGCCACCTCTCTCACCCCTTGGTTCTTTGGTGGAGCTCTTCCTCCAGCTCTGCACTGGGGAGGGTACTGTGGGGCTCTCCTCAGACAAGGGGCAATGCCCACCTCCTGGCCATGGTGACAGCACCCTGGGGCTGAGAGCCGGCTGTTTGTGTCACAGAAGCTACTTTGTGGCTGTTCACTCCTTGCTATTGGAGAGGCTGTGTGTCACCACTATTGTTCTTCTCTGACCCTCACACTGACCCTTTCACCTGGGTCGTCCGTATTTCATGATGTGGCAGTTGAGTCTTATGGCTACTCCATAACCTGCCTAAGGAGACACTTGGCTTTAGCAGGTGTCAGGATTTGAGCTTGGGCCTGAGCCCCAGCCATGCCTGCACTTGCCTGCTGAGGGCCCCGACATAGACAGGCCTGGTCGCTGGGCAGGGCCCCACGAAGGGCCGCAGCTGGCAGATGTCACCCTGGCATAGGAGAGGTACTGAGTGCGGGAGAGCTCTGCAGTGGTGCCACGGGCGGGTTCTTTCTGCTTCGGTGCTGTGAAACACTCCCTCCTCTGATCAGCTCATCTCATTTGCTTTATGTAGAAATATTATGTTTTTGACACATTGACTGCCACACACAAAAAGAGAACATTTTTCTTTGGAGTCATGGTATTTTATTATGAAAATAGAATAAAAACTTTGAAAAGAAAATAATCCTAAAATATACATCAATAAAAAGTAATATAAAATGTGAAAATTAGCACTGTCAAAAGTAATGTGAAAACTTAAAAAGTAGTTCACAGCTCATGTGGCAGTTACTGTGCTAAAAATGTATTTAGTTAGCTTGACTATTTTAAGGTAAACTAAAACAGAATAATCTTAATTTTGCTGTGTGAAACTGCTAGGCTACTTTAATAGGGTAAGAATTAGCCTTTATTTAACAATTATTATTAAAACTTGGTTGTATCTTACAAGTCATTAAGCCTTTCAGTACACTGGTCTGTAGAATCCTTATGCTGTGACTAAAGACAGTGAAGTGGGTTTCACAATCAGCCGCCACTCCGAGCTTGCCACTGTGCCACCTGCTCTAACCTCTGTTCTGTGTTGCAGCTGAAGCACATCCCGCCCTACGGCTTCCTCTACCACAAGCAGCTGCAGTCCCTCTTCAGACAGTGTGGGCAGGTGCGCTCCATCGTGTTTGATGGTGCCAAGTAAGTAGTGTCTTTGTAACCAGTGGCCGTTAGGAAGGAGACACAGCGCTAATGAGTTTGTAGGTGCCACTTCTCAGAGCCAGCTGCACGTAAGCAGGAGGCTCTTCACATGGAGTACTGGTTTATCTCACTGTCGCTAGTGGTTTGTCTTTCTTCTGACTAGGTGACCTCCAAAGGAGCTGAGCTCTGTGGCCAGTGGTCGGGTGGCCACTCGGGGCTGTCCTCGTCACTTTCTGTCCCCAGAATTTCTTAGTGAGTCGCTATTGTCAGTTATTTTGTAGGCCAGAAGGATGTGCCCATATAGTGTGTCTGCAAAGTTATTTAAAATATACGTGTTCTAAATATTTGGGGAAGACAAATACTGTACAAATTCAGTTACGCTCAGGTTTTAATTTAGGAGAGGAACAGGATGTGTTGGCCTGTTGCTGTGAGTCTGTGCTTTCCACAAACAAGACTATTTCCAGTTTTAAAATTGATTTTTACTTTTTAAGTTAGAATTTGTTTTCCATTGTTGTAGAATTTTATTTTTTTTGAGACAGAGCCTCATAATGTCGCCCTTGGTAGAGTGCTGTGGCATCATAGTTCACAGCAACCTCAAACTCTTGGACTTAAGCAATTCTCTTGCCTCAGCCTCCAGAGCAGCTGGGACTACAGGCGCTTGCCACAATGCCCAGCTTTTTTTTTGTTGTTGTAGTTGTCGTTTTAGCAGGCTTGGGCCAGGTTCGAACCCACCAGCCCTGGTATATGTGGCTGGCACTGTACACTGTGCTACGGGTATCAAGCTTCTATAAATGTTTTATAAATTTTTATTTAACTTGACAAAGCTTTGTCAGTCTAGTAAATAAGAACATTTTACTTTGCCTTTGATTAATGTCGTTAACTCAAGCTGAACATACTAAATTCATTTTCAGCTTGGATTAACTCTCTCCAGTATTTTAAGGTCCATTTCTATGCTTAATGTATTGATTTTCTTTGTAGGCCTTTATATCCTCATGGGGAAGATTCATAATTGTAACAAAAAATAACTTTTCTAAAGACTTTTAACAACTTTATAAGATTTAATGAATTAAACTTAGTGTCTGAAGTTTTCTTAAATATTCTAATATAAATAGTCATATTCTTTGTCATGTTAAAAATCATGTGCTTAAAACTGGAATCACAGCTAAGCGGTTCTTGACTATTGGAAGTCACTTACTGGGGTTGCGTTTCCTTTGTCTGGGGACATCCTCTGACTGGAGTGGTCACACATCTGGTCTGTCCTGAGTCACAGCGCCTTTGCTCACTAGGCTCGACTACTGGATCAGAGTCTTTGTTTCATGTTCTTACTGTCGGGGACTTCTTTCTAGGTTCTTATATTTTACTGCATTCCTTACATCTCCAGCTTTTTAGTCACAATACAAATGTCATGCCAAGTGTGGGGGCAGTACTAGTATTCTTTCTGATTATATCAGCAGCAATTCTTGTGATTCAAGTATTTGAGCACAGAGATATCCAAGAGCAATTCAGAGAGCAGGAGCCGCCCTGTGTCTCGTGGAGTGTGAAGGGCTTTGGGCCATGGTCGCTGGTGGGACTGGGCACCCCATTTCTTCCATGAGAAGCTTTCGAAAGTGCAGTGGAGGGTGGAGGTAGGACTGGCTCCACCGACATCGGCCTGTTGTGAAGGGCCACGGAAGAGGCCTGGAAGGTCAGAGGATATTCCCTCTGCAGCCCAGTGTGGGTGCAGTGGTGTCCACTCAGGACTCAGGTGGAAGGGCAGGGGGAGCAGGGTTAGGTTGATGCTCTGGTAGGAGGAGGACGTGAGCTAGTCTTGACCTGGAAAGCACTGGACCATGCCAGGCACAGTGGCAGTGTCTAGTAGAACCTGATTTGCAGGGGCCAGGTACTGTGTCTTGGGTGGTTTTTTGTGGCAGACGAGTGTGAACAGGAATAGATGGGAACTTGGAGACCCTCAGGGTTCTGATCTGAATCAGTGGCAGATGGAAGTAGGCAAGACAAGAGGAGGGGCCCATCCTGGAAGCAGCAGGCACAGCAGAGGCAGTGAGGGCGGGACCAGTGTGGAGGTCCAGCAGCTCCTCTCTGTGGCAGCCCTCAGACTGCAGCACACTGGTCAGCGTTGAGAGCTGGTCTCAACATAAGGAGCCAGTCTGCTATACTGACCCGTACACGAGGAGGGGGGCACATCCAGTTTATGAAAATCAGGTCTACTTAAGGGGTGTTCAGTGTTGGGCGGGTGGGCTATGGAGGTTCTGCTGTAGTTTCTATTAAACTGCAGCCCTTGGTGTATGCCCCTGCAGCCCTGTGCTTTCTGTGTCCACACTGCAAGACCTGACCCTCTTGGACTTCTCTCTCCTTTGTCCTCCACACGCAATCATCACTTAGTTAGGAGATGAAAACGGGTGAGTCAGGCAGTGGTGGAAGGAGCTGTGGAGGAAGGAATCTCCAGGCAGTGGGCTGCTCAGGACACGGTGGCAAGAGGGCAGCCCTGACACTCCGGCTTGGCATCCTCTCCTGTCACTCACAAGGATGTTTCCTTGAGAAAGCTTGCTTCAGAGTGGTTTGTAACAGTGGGAGGGTCATGAATCTGTGTGACTTGTGGCTACTGTCTTGACCAGGGTGTTAGGATACCTGCACACTGACAGGGCAAATTCACGGGTCTCCTTGTGCCACAGACACCCTCAGGCACCCTGCCTGTGCTTACTGCACACCCTGTAGCATGGGCTGGTGTGGGACCCTGATACGTGTGGGGCATCCACCAGGGTTCTTGGTAGTGAATAACAGGGACACAGAATCCCTGAACTTCATGCTTGTATGGCTTTCCATACCCATGTGTTACTTTATAGTGGCAAAAAGCAAAGAGAGATAAACTGTCTTTCTGTTATAGTTATGAAAATTAAGATTTCCTAGCTGAAAATTTCATGTGAATTTAGTGTTTATTCTGCCTTAGCTGAAAATGATTATATTTGGTTTTAAAGACATGCCATATTTCTCATAAGTGAATAATTTCCCCTTAAATCAATAAATATCTGTTATTGATTAATTATAGTTTGAAGAGTTGCTGGCATTTTTGAGGAGAGATGTGACATTGAGAATTTCTGTCTGATCTTGAGAGAAGTGAATATGCATTTCTTTTTTATCAGATGCCTGCTAAGCTTATCTTTTAATTTGCATTTGTGGAACAGAGCCTTTGTGGAGTTCTCACGTAATCCAACAGAGAGATTCAAGACCCTCCCTGCAGTGTACATGGCCATAAAGATGTCTCAGCTGAAGGTCTCCCTAGAGCTCAGCGTGCACTCTGCGGAGGAGATCGAGGGGAAAGTGCAGGCAGGGAGCGTGTCCAAGCTCCGCAGTACGAGGTAACTCCACCTGCCTGCATGTATTCAGCCACGGGGCTTGGATGACACTGATCTACCTTTGCTTAGTTCACAATGACAGCATTGGCTTTGTAGGCAGGTGGAGTTGCTTTTGTTCAGGCTTGTCTGGAACGTGTGAGCTCAGATGGTCCACTCACCTGAGCCTCCCAGAGTGCTAGGATTGTAGGCACCATGCCTAGTCCTTTCCTTTTGTTTTGGAACAAAAATATTAAGAGAGGAAAAATTTATTTTTATCAAATTTGTCTTTTATATGCCAGAGCTCAGCATTTACTATCTTACTGCTTTAAGAGGTGCGTCATGTGTTTTCTAACAGCACTGAGCCAAGTGTGAACTAATGTATTTTTCTAAAGGTTGAAGCCACTCAACTTCTGAAATCACAAGTTAGGAAACATGTCAGGTCCTATATTTAGAATTTATACTCTTAAAAGTACATTTTCTTTAAAAGGAGTCTTGGCTTTTATTTTTATTTTTCATCTTTTTTAATTTTTTTGAGACAGAGTTTCACCTGGGTAGAGTGCTATGGTGTCATAGCTCACAGCAACCTCAAACTCATGGGCTCAAGCAATTCTCCTCTCTTAGCCTCCTGAGCAACTGGGACTATAGGCACCTACCACATTGCTCAGCTAGTTTTCTATTTTTAGTAGAGACAGGGGTCAGGCTGGTCTAGAATTTCTGAGCTCAGGCAATCCACATGCCTCGGCCTCCCAGAGTCTGGGATTACAGGTGTGAGCCACTGCACCCGGCCAAGTCTTGGCTTTTAGATTGTTGTTCTAGATGGCAGTGTGTGACTGTGGAGCGTGTACTCCTTGGGGGACAGCTCAGGGAGCTGCCAGAAAGTCATGTTTGTGATGAAATCAAATTTGTCATCTCTGGCCTTAAATGGTTCAAGTGGCTAAGGCACCAGCCACATACACGTAAGGTGGCGGGTTCGAATCCAGCCTGGGCCTGCCAAAAACAACAATGACGGCTGCAACCAAAAAATAGCCAGGCATTGTGGTGGGCGCCTGTGGTCCTAGCTACTTGGGAGGCTGAGGCAGGAGACTCACTTGAGCCCAGGAGTTGGAGGTTGCTGTGAGCTGTGATGCCACAGCACTCTACCCAGGGGGATAGCTT